GAGAATAAGTTGAGAATGTGAGGAGATTTAGGGCAGGTTCATATAAAACCACTGATGACTAGATCCCCTAACAGACTATTAAGAGAAACTGGCTCTTTGGGGAGGACTTAACTTTTCAGGGACATCTTTAATCACTTGAAGCTGACTTTCTGACCTCATGTGAGCTGACCTCCTGTGCCCCCATAGGATTCATGGGCTGCCCCATGGGACGTTTCTTATATCCTTAGATTATGGGAGGGACCCAGTCAAAGAGACAAGCTCTCTCTGCAGAGTGGCTGCTCCTCTCAGAAAGGAAGGAAGAACACCTTTTATAGCCTTCCAGAGGAAGGAAAGTGGGCACTGGTGGCTGCGGAAGTGAGCCCAGCAGGGTCCCAAGGTGGCTGGACGCGTTCAGTCCCCTTTGCTCTGACTGAACCTACAACCTCCTGACCACATTCCTTCCGGCTGCCTCATTCTCCCCAGGGTCCTAGAGCAGAGCAGCGGGCCCCGGGGAGCTGATCAGAACAGTTCTGTGGCATGTCCAGCAGAGTTTGGCCTACCCCTTTGCCAGACCCTGGGACCCTTTCCCAATTTCCTGTCTCAGATATGCTGAGCAAGCGCTGGCCTTCCTCGTGCTGGGGTTGCTGGGCTCAGGCCAGCAGCTCTCCAGAGCTGAATCACTGGTGCCTTTCCTTCCTGCTGGGACCTCGGAGCCGGAGCTCCTGTTCCCCAGCTTATCTGCTGGAAGCCACAGGATGGCAAATTAAAGGTGCCTGTGTCAAAAGCGCACAGACCTCATCCATCGACCTGCCTTCTTTCCCCGGCCAGTTCTTCCTTTCTGGTCACTCCATAAGCTGTTATTTATTTACTGCTTCTGGGACATCTTGCTGAGGCTGAGTCAGTGATACACAGAGGATGGTATAGCCCAGCTCAGGATCCCTCTCAATCCCTGCCCCCACCCCCCCAGGAAACAGCTATGCACTAGGTGACAGGAAGGCGCTCAACAATATCTTCTCCACTGAGGCATGAAATTCCAGAATTAGAACTTCATTTCTTTGGACTTGTACTTATTATTATTTAGATAATAGTAATGCACTAGTATCTCACCTAACATTTTACAGCTTACAAAAACAGCACTCACTATTTTGAGTCTCTTCTATGAGATGGCTTCACCTAGTAATTCTTTGTTGCACATATCAGGAAATAAAATTTAAATAACTTGCCAAGGGTCATACAGCTGTTAAGCAGGAGAGCTGGATCGTCTGGTCCCCAGTCCGTGATACTATGCACTGCATGTACGCCTTTGGTGCTACCACTGGAGTACTGGGGAAGGTAGAAATGAAAAAACGATGTTTGCCACCTTGTGTGAGAAAAACCCTTGTCCTCCTCTCTTAATGGCTGAGCACTGCCCCTAAGAAAGTGGGGACTCTCTGAGCTTTACCAGCTCTGACCTGCCTCCCAGGCTGTGTGTGTGTGTGTGTGTGTGTGTGTGTGTGTGTGTGTGTGTGTGTGTTTGTGTGATTGGGAGGCAGCACACTCCTCTTCTGCCAGGGCCTAATAACCCTAGAATTGTGTGGGCTCAACACTGCAGCTACAAAGGGCTTGTCTCTTGTCTCAGGCATCTGAAGACCTGAAAAACACATGAAGGAATTAATGGGAGTCCAGAGCCAGCAGAGCTTGTAGAAGGCATGCGCCTGTAACCTTGTCAGCCCTGCTTCAGCATCTCTGACCAGAGTTTGTCTAGGCCCAGTCTAAATACCTGTCAGGCTAGGAGGCTCACTACTGACCAAGTCAGCTTTTGACATCTATTCAGATGTACACTGGACCAATTTTAACTTTTTGCTGAGTCGTAGATGTTTTTATGATTACCTCGTGTAGTTCTTAAAATTTGCCTGTTTGGGAAACTGAGACTCAGAGATTAACTTGCCTAGAGTCATATGAAGAAAGATGTTGTTTCTAGGCTTCTCACCATCCTCTCCACTCCGTGGACCTGTTCTAGTCTGCCAACACCCCCTTTGAAAGAGGCCCTCAAAACTGGCTACAGTGCTCTTCCTCACAAGGCTTGATCAGCCGGGAGAGTGGTTACCCCATGTCTTCCTCTTGTTAACAAGCTGGTACACCTCCAGCCACATCAGGTATTTGGCAGCAGCATTTCCAGCTAAACACCTCTGAACCTGCTGTCATTCCATAAGCCCAAGGTTGCTTTGGTTCGGGTTCTTAGGCTGTTGCAAGGTCATTTATTCCTCTTCCTTTCTGTGTGCAGCTGGGCACAAAGCACTGGACTTCACATTCTTACCTGTTTGAGCCAACTCAGCTTCCTGAGCAAAACTTGGCCTCTCAGTTTGAGCATGAGTTCCTGCTGCAGGCTGGCTGCAGGCCAGATTTTGGCAGCAACACCAGAGTGGTCAGACTTATGTGGAATTCAGCATCCTAGGGGGCTCTTGGTGACTGGAGACGGATCCCATGGTAGCCAAACTCCATAGGGAGTAGGCCCTCAGCCCCTAACAGACATCAGGCTTGTGGGCGGAGCCAAAGCTTCTCAGCCTGGCAAGGCAAAGTCCTAGGGGACTCTCCTCCCTGCCTCCCATGGTCCCTGAGAAGTCTTCAGTCCACGATCTCGATGCAGCCATGGTCAGATGCTCCCTAGGCACCATCAAGGCCCATTCCCAGGCTCTAGCACAAAGGACCGCCTCTGGGAGCGCTTCCCCAAAAGCTCTGGGAAGGAACTTGGAGGATCAGTTCATCCCTCAGTGTCTCCTGCGTGTGGCTGGAGGGAGCCAGGGCCTGCCCACTGTGACCTTCCGACCACGAACTCAACCTTTGCTTACTAGAATTCTACCATTAGAGCTGAAATCTATGGAATTAAGAAAAAGTTTCCCCCAGGCTCTTAGGTTCTTAGGGTTAGAAGGAACTTTAGTGTTCATCTGATCGACCTCATATTTAATGAAAAGGTATTCTGTACAGTATCTTTGCCAAGTAATTTTCCAGCCTCTGCAAGAACACACCTGCCTCCCAAAACAGCCCATTGTATATATTTTTTTACAATAAAACATTCTTCCTGTTCATATATGTGAACATCTATCTTGCAGGAGCTTGTCCCCACCGGCCCTCGTTCTGCTGGCTTGCTATATGGTCCTCTCAGAAAACACTAGTTCTCTCAGAGAAGAAAACAGTGGCTATTCTTGGGCTACATCTGAGGTGACTCATTCACAGCCCATGTGATAACTGGGGTGAGGCTGGTAGGAAGGCTTCATAAACCCTACAAATTCTGCTGGCCCTCACTGAAGTATCCATTTCAGAAGAAAGGATGTGATGTTGATAGTAGGGCCTAGACCACAGGAGGTAGCCTTGGGAGGATTTGGTGTGCTTAGGACATAATGGAGAGAAGCTCAGAAGCATTCCTAATTGCCACCATGTCGGAGCAATTAGGAATACTAACATAGTAGTTACCGCATAGAACTAATGTGAGCACAAGGGAACTACTGAATGGAAGTGCCCACCATGTTTCCTCATGCCAGTTAGCACTCAGTTAAGTGTTGGTTGTTGGTTGCTTAGGATTAGTGACACATGGAGGGAAAGGGTTTAAAAGGAGGATAATGGACAGCCACCGAGAAAATCAGCTGGAGCAAGAAGAGGTAGAAGAACTAGGAGACTGTTACAGTCTCAGAAAGGTTGGTCGAGAGGGAAGAACTGAGGTTCTCGAAGCTGACAGGACGGAGTGGTGTCCAACAGCTTACTGGTTATGGGAGCTGCAGACTAAGCCTGTGGCTGCTCTGAGAGTGCTTGAAGAAGTGAAAGGATGTGCTGGTATTCTTAGCTGTGATTGCTGGGGTTCAGAAATACAGTGGGTACTCTCTGATGCGGCAGAGGACACTTTAACGTCTCCCTCCTTCCCAGCCTATTACTGTGGGAAATTTTCTTAGAGGAACAGTTAGAGGTATTGCAGTTATCAAACAGTGATACTGGGAAAGGTGCGCTACAACTCCTTTGGTAGTGGAGCAGAAACAGGCCAGTGTAGGCAGGAGAGGGATAGAGGCAGACATCCAGGGCGGTTGGGAACAGGAAAGAGAATGTGGGAGTGAAGGGGCAGTTACAGGAGAGAGGGCCCTAGAGGAGGAAGAGAGAGGACGTGGAGTTGCATCTACTGCACAGACCAGCTTTGGAGGCCCTTCCCCAACGACATTTCCAGCTTGCCTGACTGGCTTTACGTTTCATAGAGCATAAATTCAAGCTCCAGATGCACCCTGCCTCTAAACAAATGATAGACAAATCAAGCCTCATGGTCTTTGGTCCTGTCAGGGAATAATCAAAATCACAGCTAGGGAATGGAGACAAGCTGTTGAGTAGAAGGTAATTACGCTGTTGGAGGGAAGAAACAGGTTGGCCTTAAATGGTTTGAGAACATTGGTCCCTTGCTCCTTCCCTCTGGGGAAGGACTCTGGGAAACATTGGGCTGTCCCTTCCTTCGAGTCTCTTCTCTGAGAGTTTCAGCCCGGTCTGGAGAGGAGATCTGGTTCACTGGTTCAGACCCAGAGCTGACTGCATCCTGCACTAGGTCCAAACGGGAAATGGACTACCTGGTCTTGTACCCCGACACCCTGCTGCCCCTGGAGCCACCTGGAGCCCAAGCAGTCTTGAACTGGGGAGAATTGATCTTTCCTTTACTGTAGAGAGCCAGGCCTGTGGGCAGGAGTGGGAGCCAGACACGAGGTAGCCACCTGAGGAAAAGCCAGATGGGGTTGAAAGACTCAGTGCTTCCAGAATAAAAGACTTCTAGAAATGAACAAAAGAAAAGAAAGCTGAGGAGGTCTCAGGCATTGCATGTCAAGTCCCAAACTGACCACACTGTGCCCTGCAGCACCTCAGAGCTGAAGGGCCCTGGGGAGGTGTTTCTGGGACAACTGACACCTTTGACCAGATGGCGCTTGGATTCCAGGGAGCTTCGCCATGGAGACACAGGGCTTCTCGTGGGGATTCGCTGGGCGTCTTGTTTCTATCACTTCTGCGTTTTTGTCTTCCAGAGTGGAACGCTTAAGGATCCGGACTCGAGCAAGACCCCACCTCAGCGGCCACCCCCCCAAGGTTGTTTACAGTATATTCTCGACTGTAATGGCATTGCAGTAGGGCCAAAACAAGTCCAAGCTTCTTAAAAACGATTGGTAGTTAATTTTTTTCAAAGCAGAAATCTTAAGCCAAAAACAAAACAAAACAACAACAACAAAAAAAACAAAATCAAAAAGAAAGGAAAGCGGGAGGGGAGAATCAGAGCCTCCCCAGCGCCGCTGTGTCCTTTCGCTGCTGACTGGACTGTTTTTCCTATGCACTGTCAGCACCTCTGTCTGGTTCTTCACCTGTTGCTGTTGTGCTTGTAATGCTCAGTGACGTTTCTCTGTATACCTTGTGATTCCAGGGCTGTTTGTCAACAGTGTACAAAAGAATTGTGCCTCTCCCAAGTCCAGTGTGACGCTATCTGCTGGGTGGTTTGATAGCATTATTAAAAAAAAAAAAACCAATATGGGGCGAAATAGAGTGGGGGGACAGGCAGGGGAGACGGAAAAAGCAAAAACAAAACCCAACTACTCCCCTGCACCCCCAGGCTCATAGTAACACCCCCCTTACCTCCATGAGTGTGCTTGGGATCTTCAGCAAACTGTGCTTTTGCTTCCTTTCTGCATGTCTAGGGTAAATAGGTAGAACTATAAGATGTTTTCAAGGTCTCATTTCCATAGCTTCATCCATTGGATTTGAAGGCATCCACCTTTTTTTCTGTTTGCTAAAATTGGGTGCAGTCTGAGTTTGTGTGACTAGGCTGGCTGTGCTTGTAGAGCTCTTGTGTTTTTAGTGATGAACTACAGAGAACAAGCTGTTTTCCAGGAATGTGTTCTGTATTTTACATCCCAGTGTACTTTTTTTTTTTTACAAAAAAAATTGTTAACTAATTAGCTATGAGATTAAACAAAACATAAAAAAATTACGGGGCCGCTGATGTGCAATAGCCAAGTGAATTTGTGAGCATTTTCTGTGTGTTGATCTCAGTCCCTCTCAGTTGTTTCCTCGTTGTTGTTGTTTCTAAATCAGCCATATGTGTGTGCTGCTGTGGAACCAAGGCCACTTCGTATTCCCCAAAGCTTGACCTGTGTACAGAGAGAATTCTTTAGCAATGCTGGACGTAGAATGCAGGGAGCTCCTGAAAGTCTGGGAAGGAGTGGACCATTCTGCTCCTGGCCTCTCCTGAGGCGCCGCAACACGAGACCAAAAAAAAAAGTCCCATGCCACTCCAGTGGGTACACTGCCTACAGAACTCGGAGCTTGACTCCTGCTTTAGTTCTCAGTTGCCGCTCAAGCTCTCCCGAGGCCCGAGGAAGAGGAGCTCGATCTGTCTCAGGAAGAACTGTCTCCAGTGCGGCTTTAGCATGACTGGGACAGAGGCTTCGCAGCTAGGACTTGTTGAAGGATTCCCACCAGTTTGTCTTCCTTCTTCCAAACTGGCAGCACCTGGGCAGAAGATGAGGCGGTTACTTAACCAGGCCCCAGCTCCTGTGCCTCATCTTGCCAATCTCCTGGCTAGCCTGGGAATGGGCAGTGGGTGGCCTCCTCTGGCAACTGTGGCCCGTGGGAATTCGTGTCCTCGGTTTGCCTTTCCGAAGAAATGCTTCTGGCTCTACTTTTACATTCCCTCTCACCTGTGCACTTGACCCGTCAGAGTCTGGACCACCAGGTCAGAGGGTCAGAGGAATGACCAGTGTCGTGGTACATAACGTGAGTTAAGTGTCAAGGGATTTGTGCCTTGGTTTCTTCTTTGGTTACTGGCACATTCTGAAGTCACTGAGAAATGCACTGAGTGTGAATGTTCTCTGTCTGGGATCCTTCCCTGACGTGATGGTGGCAATCAATCTGCTGTAAATATATAAATATAGGAATATAGGCACTTCCAAGTGGGATGCTTAAGAATCAGGTCTTTAAATACCTCCCCAGTCTGATGAAATGATAGAAAGGAACAAAATCATGTTTTCCAGAATGGAGGAATACGTCTTCTTTATTTTAATAATTTTTTGTCCAAGTGGTGAGCTGATGGTGGTGTTGTTTCTCTGCATGTTATCACTGTGTATTTTCAGGTGCTTTTCACGTGACTTTGTGAGCCCACAAACACAGTTGCTGTTTGAATTCAGTCAGGCTACTCCAGGGTGGTGTCAGCAAGGCCTCTCGGCGGGGGGGGGGGGAAAGTGATTAGGACTCCCGCTATGGGCAAGCAGACAGCATCACCTGACTGTCATGTGCCCTCAGGCAGCATGCTAAGGGACAACTCTGTGGCCTGAGGGACACCCCGTCACAGTGTAGGACTGCCGTTGAGGTGTTTTGTACCCATTTCTTTTCTGATGTTGTCCCCTTCTTTTGTACCGATCCAGCTGGGAGAACCTCAGCCAACGCTGGAAGTGTGATTGAAGTACCTCTCTTTTGTGACTCTCTTGTACAGCTTAATGTGCAATAAAGGAAAAGTTATATCTGTCTTCAGTGTTAAGTTGTAAAGTTTCTGGCTACTCATGTAACTCTGTACAAATGGGAAGCCACTCCAGTTTCTGGCTCAAGAGGCTGAGCGGTCGACCTGCGTGACTTGGTGAAGACATGTAATACAAGTAAAAAAAAATGACGAATTTGGAGTAATCTGCTAATTTCTCATCTTCACTAGTTATTTGACTTGAAGTTGAAACAGAATTTTATGTATTGATGTGCGTGTTTATGTGTGACTAACCCTGGTGTTTCTTGGTCTTTGAGGATGAAGGGGCACATGTGCCCAGTTATGGGGAAGTGGGACAACAGCCGCTGGGTACACAGTGGCATTAATGCCATTTTCCTCTCCAGAGACTGCAGGTGTTCTGGTATTTCTAGAAAGCTCAGTCCCAACACAGCTCAGCTGAAGTTTCTTTAAGCCTGCTCTGCAGTAGACTCAGGAATGTGGACTCTGGGTTGAGGCCGAGAGATTGGGCTTCCCAGGCCAATCATGCATTGTCTCCACTTGACATTCTGTGCTGGGTGGGGATGTGTTTCCGAGTGTAGGGATCCCCTGAGCAAAACCTGAACCACACTTACCTCCTCTCAACCCCCAAAGGAAAGAAAGGCTGCTTTTCTTTCAAGGTTACCAGATGGTTTTGTGTCTTTGCTGACCCCTTTGGGGGCCAGGAAGGGGCTCCTCTTTGTCAGATGGTGCCTGCAACATCCCTAAGGAGCAGTGGGTTTTGGAAGCCTGGAGACTCTTAACACATATAGCTGTCTTCACATCCTGCTGGAGCACCAGAGCTTGGTACTCAGTGGCAAAGGCATGCCTGGGGAGAAAGAGTCACTCTGGCTGTGGGAGCTAATGCCAACCCAAAGCCCAGGGCAGATAAGCACGGCCATAAGGCACGTGCAGGCTCAGAGCAAAACCAAGGACCTACACCGAAGATGGTCAGTAGGAATCCTAGAGCAGAGCTTCTTCGGAAGACGTTTCTCACCTGGGTCATCTTGGAAACACTTTTCATCTCAAAGCTCTCTAGGACCAGGACTGCCCTTTCTAACATTTGGTGGTTGGAAAAAGGGAGGCCTAGAGAATGGTGGTGACTTGGTTAGGGAGTCGCTGATGGACTGTTCCTTGGTTTTCTGATTCCCAGTTCTCTTTCCACTGCTCTAATACTGAGTCTACTGTGAGGAATTTGGAGCTGCCTATACACTCTGCACCCTATTCCCTGGGAGAAAGGGGGCCTGCTGTAGGAGAGCGTGCCTCTACCCAAGATCTGCTCATCCCCTGCCTTCTCCCTTGTTCTCCCGACTGATGCTGCGTTGGAGCTGCTGTGTCTCTGAGAAGTAGTGGCCATGGATGGGGTAACCAGGGACTCCTTTGGGAGCCCTGCAGGGCCTTGGGTGCCTTCTTGTAACAGAGCTTATTCTTTTCGTAGTTGGACTAACCACACCCTTGGATGTAGATTCTAATAATGAAACCCTTTGATGACGGTTAAATTATGAAGTTTTTCTTGTACTGAACCTAGGGGGCCCAGGGCAACCCCAAGGAATGCAGTCCCCAGGCAAGGTCCTGCCTCCACGCCGGCTCCCCCCTGGACCATCACAGCTACCTTCCTCCTCCTCCTCCTCCTCTTCCTCCTTCTCGGCTCCCCAGCGGCCGGGCGGCCCCACCACCACCCACGAAGATGCACCCTCCAGCAGCAGCTCGCTGGCAGAGGCCCAGCCACCCCCGGCTGCTCCACCACAGAAGCCCCAGCCTCACCCACAGCTCAAGTAAGAGACAACTCCGCAGCTCCTCCCTCCCCTCTTCCTGCCCCTCCTCCTGGGCCTGGGGCTCCAGAGCTGCTAGAAAGCTCCCGCAAGCAGGTTTCCTCCTACAGATATTTTGTGGCTGGTTTAGGGGGTTGCTGTGTGTGTGTGTGTGTGTGTGTGTGTGTGTGTGTGTGTGTGTGTGTTTAGGTGAGGGTTTTTGTTGGGTTTGACTGGGAAGGGGGGAAAGAGGGAAATGAAAGTCGAAGGTTCAGTGAGCACTCACACCCTGCCCTCTCTTCCTGGGGAGTGGCACTCTGGCAGAGTTCAGCTCCATCTCTAGTCTTCTACTAGTTCAGGGGCTTGTTTTGTTTTCACCCTGTCTCCCACTCTCTTTTCCATCCCTTTTCTCTCTTTTGTCTGTGTCTCTCCTTCTTAAAAAATAAATATATATGTATATATATTTTTGGTTAATCTTTCCTGCCTCTGACTCACATTCTGGGGGTTACAGTCAGCAAGACTGCCCAGAAGGAGAAGGGGGAAGTAGTTGACTCCATTTTGACGCTTGCTCTCTACTCTGTCCAAAGGAGGCCGGCCTCCCCGATGGAGACTGAGGGGCTCTGGCCCCTCACGCACCTCACTCCCATTTCCTGTAGTCGTCCTTGAGGACACTGGAAGCAGCAGAGCTGTACTTGAGAGAAGAGTGATAGGGCAGGGATGGCAGCCCGTTTCATTCACTCACTCAGTGCTAAAGAATGCCTCTGGCAGCCTTCAGAGTCCCAAGATGTCTGTCACCAGTATCAGCAGGGACAACGCTACCAGCACAGAAGCAGTAGGAGTGACCCATCTAGGCTTCTCAGAACAAGGTGCTAGGCAACAGACAAATCTCCTGGGAATGGGCGAAAGGGCCAATAGAATTCCACAGTTTGGCCGAGCCCCAAGAGATCATCCAAAACCATTCCACAGGTCAGAAAGCTTCTCTCGGAGAATCTATTACTCTCCTTGGTGCCTGAGCCAGGGTTGGGACCAGATATCCAGATGGTCAGTTTCCAAACATCTTTCAGTGTCATGTAATGTTAGGGGCACCCCCTACGCTGCTCCCCAGCTCTGTGGCACCAGCACTTTCCCCCTCAGCCATGTTGTATTCTGCATGCTGTTTAGTTGTCCCCTCTCACACAGACACATGCCCTCACTATCACTACCACCACTTGCTCACTTTAGCCTCGGTCTGAGGGTCGTCACTCCCCCTGTGCTGACAAGTGGAGGTCTGTGCCTATTGCCCCCTGCCTGTGTGTGCAGAAGAGCTGCCCCCTGCTCCCTGCTCCCCCTTCCCCAGAAACTAGCATGCTGGGGCTCATCTCTGGCCCTAATGAAGGAAGGTGGGGTCCTTGTTCACAGTCACTGCAGCAGGAGACAGACTGCTCATGGTCCTACAGGAGGTACTTTCCTGGACTGCACCCAGCATGTAAAAGAAAGCTAAGTATCCCGAGACATAAGGAGGGTTCTGAAGTCAGAATCAGCAGCAGAGAGACCCAGTGGGAGTCAAGAAAGGACCTGGAGAAGTCAGACATTATGCCCTGTCCTGGAGTGTAGGCTTGGCCTCCCCACTGGCCTTTTGCTTTTGGTTCTTTTCAATCTCTAGTCTCTAAAGGAGAAAAAAGTAGGTCCCTGAAATATGTGGGATATGGGTTCTTTCATTTCAAAGCTGCGTGAGAACTGGGGGTTCTGCTGATGGACATTACAGTCCCCATAGACCTCATTTCAGGCTCCTCTGAGAAAGGCAGCTAGCCTGACTATGTCCATTTGAAGAACACGGAAATGAAGGCATTAGAATTTATAGCCAACCTGAAAGAGTCTTTTGGAGTCAGAGAAGAGAGCAGAGTAGGAAGAACTGCAAGGGCCCAGAGATCCTCATTTTGCCAAACATCTTCATGTCACAGATGAGAAACAGTGCCAGAGAAGCACGGGGCTTGCCTGAGGTCAGGGGTGTCAAAGTGATTTTGACCCCGTCTTGTGATACTGGGTCTTCACCTGACAATTGATAAAAAAGAATGCAGGAATTCATAGGCCCCTAGAGTGTACCTGTCATCAGAGAAGACGGGTATGAGGTTTCCAGATTGGTACTGACCAAGTTAGACCTCTGAAGTCCAGCTCTCAGGCATTTGACAGCTAACTAAAAGCAGCAGCCTTCTTCCTCTTCTCTCTTTTCTCCCCTTGGCCTTACTCCCACACTGCCCTCATCCTTTCCTGTTTTAGCATCTCTAGAGGTGAGGAATTGACAGAGGGCCCTCCCATTACCCGCGAGGCTTTCTCCTCCATTGCCCTGGTCTCCTTGGGGTGGGAGTGGGGGTTCTTGTTGTGTACCCTCATGTCACCGTCCTTTTCTCCCTCGCTGAGAACACCACCCTCTTACGTTCTCTCTGGTTTTTATCTTCAAGCAAGTCGCAGTCCCTGACAAATGCCTTCAGCTTCTCTGAGTCCTCCTTCTTCCGGTCTTCGACCAGTGAGGATGAAGCCAAAGCAGAGACCATCCGGAGCTTGAGGAAGTCCTTTGCCAGCCTTTTTTCAGATTAGCCCTTCAGAAACGGGCGCGCCCAGCCCAACCAGGAAAGGCATCTAAGACATTCAACAACAGTCAGCACCGTGGGTGGTGGTGTCTTGTGACCTTGACGTGTGTGTAGCCCCTTCCTCTTCTCCGTTGTGCTCAGTGATGTTGTGCAGCCCAGAAAAGACCATGTGACAGTCTTAGGGCAGGTGCCTGCCCAGAGAGGGGCACCTGGACTCAAAAGAGGAGAGATCTGCTTCCCTGTAGTCACAAGAACTTCAGAAGTCATCGTTCGCTGTGAGCTTAGTGGCCTTATTGTGACAATGCCATCACGTCTTATCCTTCCCTGTGAAGCCAGGATTGCTTTAACTGAGGAGTCCTGGCAGCTTCGCCCAGTCAGATGCAGTGCTTGGCATGCCCCGCACCCTGTAGTCAGTGCTACCTATGTGGGAAGTATTTACTCACCCAGAAGTACTCTTGGCTCTAAGTTGTCAGAACTTGCCCAAACCTGGACCCCTTTGTCACACCTGTTGAACTGTTTTAAAGTGCTCCTCCCAACCCACGAAACCCCTAGACTGCTGTGATAGTGAAGCACCTCATGTTCGCTGATGGTTGAGAATAGGGGGTCTTCAGTTTCCCCTTTCTCCCCTCTGGAGAGTGGTTTTTCACATGTGAGCTGCAGTGACCTCACACTCGCAAGCCGCACCATGGAGGAGAATGCATGCCACCGAAACAGCAGTGTGCCACATTCTGTATTTCTTTCCTAATAAATGTTAAGACCTTTGGTGTAATAAAACCAGCAGCATTAACCAGCATTTCATTCAACCATGAGGTCTGCCCTCGGGTACTCTTTAGACTGAGAGGGTGTGTATGAAGTGTTTGTGTGTGTGTGTGTGTGTGTGTGTGTGTGTGTGTGTGCACGCGCGCATGAGAGAAATATTGATTGGTTGATTGTGCACATTTATGTTTGCAAATGATAGAGAGCGTGTCTGTGTTTGGCCTGTTGCTTTTGCTGGGTTTCCTGACACTGCCACTGTGAATCTGTCCCCTCCAGGACAACTGGCCTCCCTTCAGCAACTCAGCAACTCAGCAACTCTTCCTGTTTTACTGAAATTGAAGCCTTTTGAATAAGCATAGTACCTTCACTCCTGTAGCACACAGGTGACTCTCACTTGTCTGTTGTCAAGGTCCTTAACTAGAGCCCTCCTTGTGGTTCCAGTGAGGCTGTACTAACAAACCTGAGGACCAGGGCCCCAAAGACATCCTTGCAAGGTCTGTACTTGTGGATGGGTTCCCAGGGTGGGTTCAGTGTGGATTTCTCATGATTCACTGACAGTCAAAAAGAGGATATTCCCAAAGATGAGAAATACTGTGAAAGTAAATACTAAGTTTGTGTTAAGAAAGAAAAATACTCCTCCAGCCAACTTCCTACACATTACCATGCTAATAACACGATGACTCTGCCGGATGCCACCATCCTGCTAACTCTCCTGACAGGCAGTAGACACTGAGAGGCCTGAAGAGGACTGTCTCTGATAGCAACATGCCCTTTCTGACCCATGCATCCCATGTTTTGGGGATTTGAGGACTGAGAATTGTACCTTCTTCTTATACTTGAAAAACAGGAACTAGAACCTCGCCATTGAGAGAAATCTTTAGGGTGGCAGTTCTCTTCCCACTCACAAAACTAGGGAAGAGACCAGCCAACCAAAGGGTGGTTCCTGGTCTCAAGCCAACTGGACTTTAGAGTTCCTTCTGGTTCCATCTGTAGGGGAGGTGAAACTTCTTACCACTCTGTGTTCTGTAACTGCAACTGATCAATTAATTGGCAGAAGACAGATGAATAAGACAGAAAAATTCACATGTGATGTTTTTACATGTAAGAAGTCTCTTCAAAAGTTAATGGGAAATACTTTTTATGAACAAGTTGAATATAGACTCTTTTTTCCCACAAAATGCACTTACATTTTAGTTCTATCTTCAATGAACCTTTTAGTGTACATAATGAAAATGAAAACTCAAGACTTGGTTGGGTCCAAAACTTACATACCATTTAAGCAAAGAATGATGAAGAGAATGTTAGATAAAGCAAAGGATTCTGGGCTAGAGCTGATTAATTATGGGAAAGTAATGAAAAAACACTTGGAAGAAGCTGGTGAAAGAGAAGGGGACTACTTTGAGTAAGATTCCACTTTTTTGTCCAGGTTCACCTCAGCATCAGTTTTTGCCCGCTGATAGGAATGTTCTCCTTTCCCTCATATGGGAGAAGGAAGAAATTTCACATGAGAAATTCCAGGATCTGTTTGAGGCGTAAAGGGGAGGTAAGAGAACCATTCCTTCCTGAGTTGCTTTTCCATTATTTTGAGGTGCATTTTGAACTGGCATGCCTTCAGTCCCTTAACAACCAAGAATCTATCGCTTGCAGTTCCTTTTCTCCATCTTATTCAAACATGCTTTAAAGTTTTATTTATAAAAGTGGAGGACAGAGGGGAGAGATATTGTTTCCATCTGCTGGTTCACTTCCTACACGCCCACGATAGCAGGATCAAAGCTGGGTCAAAATTAGGAATCGGGAACTCCATGTGAATCTCTCACGTGGGTGGCAGGAGCCTCAGCACATGGGCCATCATCTCCTCCCACTCGGGTACATCAGCAGAAATCTGGATCCTTAGCACCAAGCAGCCCCTTCTTAAACAAGACCCTCGCATATGGCATGCGGTATTCCAGGTGGAAACTTAACTCGTGCCACAACACCCATCCCTCCAATAGCTTTAACAGGCTTGCGTTCATCTACTCAAAAAGCATTTGTTGAATGTAAACATTATGGTAGATTCAAAGAAATATTTCTAATAACACTAATACTTCCCATTGTACCTACCCATTAATTTCCAGGCAATATTTTAAGCACTTAACTCATTCCTTATGATAGGTACTATTATTGTTAAAATGAGAAATGGGAAAACATGAAGGCTTAATAAGTTATTCCAGGTCAGCCATCTAACAAAGTGGCAGAGCTGAGATTTGAACTTAAGCAGTATAACAACAGAACTCATGACTTCAACTACTTTGCCACAATATTTTTAAGCTAGCAGAGGAAATAAGATATAGTTTCTCTGTATCATGAATTAATAGTTCTATACAAAGAGTCCGCACATGCATGTCCACTTCATTCCTCCACCGTGTCTGTACCCTGGCTCCAGGAGGAGGGGGAGAAGCTTGGGACACCTGTTGCCAGTCTTGACCCTTTGTCCTAAAACCATGAGTAACATACACTGTGTATCTTATTCTAATCGAATGTAGTTCTGGTTCTTAAAAAATTACTCATTCTTCCACATGTGATGTCAGAACAGAAAACCACAAGCGGTTTATTTAGAAAATGAGTCAGCCTGAAGGGACTGCTGGAGTGACAAAAAGGGGAGGAGTTTACCATAGGTCATAAGCACGCTAGTCCAAAGGACACAGGATTGTACCCAACCCCTAGGAAAGGGGCAGGACCTGGCCTCTTGGTGCTTAGCCTGGTGCCAAGACTCATCACAAGCATCAATACATTTCCAGTGAATACTTTGATTAGAAATACATCTCAAGCTAAGATCCCTGAAAGATTGGTCAGAGTCCTCTGCCGATCTTGAAGTCCACGCTCAGATCATGTCTAGTTTACAGGGGTTCCCTGGCTGCACTGTCACCTAACTGACAGAGGGGAAACTTCAGCCCTGTTCTCTCAGAAGTCAGCATCTCCCTGGAGCCAGACAGACGATCTACTTTGTTCACAACTCTTTGTCCTATAGTTACTAAGTTTAGTCAATTTGATGGGAGGAATATAAGAATGAGTTAAGCAAAGATTCTGCCCTCACCTGGAGACCATACGGGAGATGAGCAGATGGAAGAAGAAAGCCTAAGCGAGGCAACTACAGTCAAGTTAGCTTGGGGAAAAAAAACATTTGGCGAGGCTGAAAAAGTAGAAGTTACACATCGCTAACGGGAGTATGTGTTGTACCATCGCAAGAGAACAGTTTAGCAATATGTAACTCACAAGCCCTGTGATTCAGCAGTTTCATTTCTGGACACTTCAGAGAATCTCATGCACATGTATGCAAGGAGTCGAGTTAAACACTATGGGTCTCAAAACTGAAAAAAAAATCTGTTATGGGGAGAATAAAAAAAGAGAAAATAAGAAGGTTCATGAAAATGTGCATTTATGAAACAAACTTCAAGGACTTCATTTATTTTAGATTTATTTATTTATTTGAAAGGAAGACACACACAGAGGAAAATCTTCCATCCACTGATTCACTACAAGAAATGGCCATGACATTCAGGGCTGGGCCATTCTGAAGCCAGGAGCCAGGAAGCCCAAGAAGTCTTCCACATCCATGACAAAGACTCAGCTGTTTGAGCCATCATCGGCTGCTTTCCAGACACATCAGCAAGGAGCTGAATGAGAAGCAGAATAGACAGGACTTGAGTCAACACTATGATAAGGGATGGAGCTTAATGAGTTGTTGCAATACTGACATCCCATGTTGGAGTGCCATTTCAGGCCCTGCTTGCTCCACTTTTGAGCCAGCTCCCTCCCAGTGCACCCAGGAGGACAACAGATGATGGCCCAAGCACCCCTGACACCCACTGGGAGACCTGGATTCAGCCTGGCCCAGTCCCAGGTGGTGAACCAGTGGATGGAAGATTTCTGATCCTCACACCTCTCTAATAAGTAAATAAACAAACCTGCAAAAAAGAAAGGAATCCTCCCTGACTCAGGGAGCACCCTTGTGAATCCCAGCCCCCTTCTCCAGGACTGCGCCAGGAGCAGCCAAAGGGATGCCAATCATGCCTTTCTCTGCCTCTGCTTAGCAGGTGGGCCTCTAGGGCAGTTTCAGCCCATCTGCCTTTTCCTCGGGCCATAAATCCTTTCAGTAAAATTGGCTAAATTGAGCTGAGGGCAGACACCTGGGGATGCAGAGGCTCCTGCTAATGGTGTCCCACTGGCAATGGACACACACACACACAAACACACACACACACACACTCTATAGGTTTAGAAGTGACAGCACAGCTTTACGTGACTGTAATGGAGTCATTTCAAACATTCATTCCATCACTCTTGCAGGGTTGTGGTTCCTTTACAAACAATTCCTTAGGAAAGCTGAACGTTTATGCTCAGAAAATAATTGATGTCAGATATGTATGGAGTACAGTATTTATGTTTCAAAAACTCTTGGAAGATCTGAAATTCCTTACCTGGGAATCCAGAGAGTCCCAGGCCACCTATTCTGTGTAGTCTGTTTAGACATCTTGGTAGGTCCTCAGCACAAATAATGAAGAATTATTGCTTTAGAAAATGAATTTTGTTGCTTTAGTTCTAACAAGTGAGACAATAAAAGCACCTAAACTCCTTCTGGAGTTAAATCTTATGATTAAGCTAGACAATATGAAAAGTCTAAATCACAATGTGACCATAAATTAATGAGGTAGTGTTGTGTAGTTTGTAATCCCAGAAAGGGAGCCCTGGGTGTTTTAAATAGTATCTCTTTGAAATAAATGCCTAATTCCATTGCATTTGTTGATTTTGAAAGAGGGAAGAAGCATTCCAGCACCAGTTGTAGGGAATTGCAAGAACAGGCCCGCAGGGGCTCCCTAAGGGGCTCAAGTCAGTCCTGACCTGTCCCTACTCCAAACCCCTCACTGAGCCAAAAAACTTCAAGACTTTGGTGACTTGGAGAGCAGACTGGCAACATTTAGGTTACCCGCTTGTCTTGGGAGTTTTACTGGGCCTGCACACTATAACTTTGTATCTTTTAGGCAAGTTCTTTGTTAAAAAATA